CCACAACAGCCCACGGCCTCCAAGCTTGTATGCCGTACTCTAAATGCGGCCGGACGAATGTTCCGAATGTCTTAGAGAAAGCTTCTTCGTCAAAGTCCATAAACGCACGCTTGATGGCGTACTGTACGGACATTGCGCTTTTCGCCACCCTCGAACAGTGGGCGGATGGTTTTAGGGAACTCGTCGTAAGCACACCGAGGTCATTTTGGGCTTCGACCTCTTGTAGGGCTGCACCGCCCAGAAAGTAGCCTCTTGTACTGGCGGGTCTGGCTGTGTTGCCTAGGCGAAGTAGGCTACATTTGGCAACGTTGAACCGCAGGAGCCAACGGTTTGACCACTCCTCCAACCGATTCAGGTTCATCTGCAGTCTGTCTTCATCGGCAGGACTCCGAATTACACTCCATATCTTCATGTCATCCGCAAAAATTGCTACTTCACAGTCTAAATCTCTTGCGGCATCGTCCACGTAGATAAGGAACAAAATGGGTCTCAGAACTGAACCCTGGGGGACACCACTATCGACCATAGCCGGATCTGATTTTTCCCGACCGACGCACACAACCTGGTGTCGACCCGCAAGGAAGTTTTCGATCCATTTAAGGAAGTTGCCACCGATCCCTATTTTTTCAGCTTATGTAAGAGCCTTTGGTGTGGCACAGTGTCGAACGCCTTCTGGAAGTCGATGAAGGCTATGTGGACCGCGTGCCTGTCGTCGAGAGCTCGGGTCCAGCTCTGGAGAGATTGCAGCAGGTTTGTCGTGCAGGATCTTCCTTTTCGGTACCCATGTTGGCATTTCGATAGCAGGCCGTGAACTTCCAGGAATTGCATCAGTTCAGTCTTTATGATCCTTTCCATAAGTTTGCAGAGAATGCTTGTCAAGCTTATGGGCCGGTAATTTTTCGTCGCTGCCCTGTTACCTCCTTTGTGTAGCGGAGTAATATGCGCCAGCTTCCAATCGACAGGAAGTGTTCCAGTGTCAAATGACGTTTAAAAGAGCATTGACAAAGGCACAGAAAGCTCACTGGCAAGTTCCTTGAGAAGCTTGGGTGGAATCTCGTCTGGTCCTGGCGACTTCGATTCGTTCAATGCCTCTAATTCTCTTCGGACAATGCATTCTGAGAAGAGTATATCACTGATGCTTGGAGTCGGCAGTTCTTCTGTGGAGGGAGGAAGGAGCCTTGCCTCGTTTGTGTAGACTGATTGGAAAAACCGTGAAAAATACGCAGCTTTATCCCTACTATCAGCGATCTCAACGCCATCAGTAGTCTTTATCAAGGGGATTTGATGCCTCTTCCTTGTAGTTCGCCGGAGGTAGCTGTAGAGCAATTTTGGGTTCTGCGTTGCTTTTTGTAGCAAGTTCTTCTCGAATTCCCGCCGCGTCTTCATTATCAGCTTCCTCAGTTTGTTCCTCTGTGTCTTGTAGGCATTGAAGCATTCAGCTTTTCTAGTGACGCAGTATTTTCTCCACAATTTGTGCTTTCTGTTTATTTCTTTCTTGAGGTTGCTATTTAGCCACCCAGGGCGTTTGTTCAGTCTTACACTAGTCGGTGGGCAGTGGTTGTTGATGAGCTGCAGAAGGACATTCTTGAACAGCTCCCAGTCATCGTTGGCACTTCCCGTAAACAATGAGCCCCAGTCAAGACCGGATAAGTCTGCCCTCATCTGATTGAAGTCGCCCCGCCAAACATTACGCCTTTTGTGGTTTGGAGTATGTGAAATGGAGAATAACGAATAATCCCACATAAGCACTACGTGATCACTTCGACCAAGGGGTGGCATGGAGGCGATCTCGTCTATGCTGTCTGGTGTTTTCGTAAAGACCAGATCCAGGCAGTTTGCCCTTTGTCCTTCACGTGTTCTTGTTGGGAACATTACATGTTGTGTGAGGCACGCATTTAATGTTTTGCTCAACAGGTGGTAATCGAATGCCGATTTTGGACCTGACGCTTGGAGGGTATTCCAGTTTGTTCCTGGTTCGTTTAAGTCGCCCATGATCATGATGTTAGGTCGACTGGAAAATTCCTCCAACTGCTCCAATACTTGAGTGTCGGCGATTCGGTCTGTCCTCGGTGGTCGGTAGACAGTGAGGACATCGAGACACGGGGAACCGGTAGCCTTGATGGTCAACCAGATAGCTTCCGTACTGCACGCAAACTTGGTGGTGTTATCCGACACTGCCAGACCGTCATTCACATACACAACGATACCACCACCCTAACGATGTTCCCTATCCCTTATAACCAACAGTTCGCGGGATCAAGCCCCAGATGTTTCACACCTTGTAGTTTGACATGTGTAACTGATGACGGCTAATAAACCGAAAATGACTATTCGAGCCCTTGTCTTTGTTAGTAATGCAATTTTGTCTATAGGATTCTGCTTGAAGGCACGGCGTACGCGTTGGACAAAAAAACCGTTTGGATATCTTGAGGAAGCCGTACGCTTGTGTTTTAACCGAGGCGAAGTAACCCAGCATGCAGCGGGCGATCCTTATAGCACGCATTGTATGTTGGCCATCGACACGGCACAAAAGGCTTGACTACTCTTTTGAAAGAAATGAGTAGGTTACGGCGCACGAAATCGAAAACGGAAAACATTGCAAATACATTGGGAAAACTGGAAATAGAGGTAAGACACATCGAGCACGGTGATGAGGGGTGAAAATCGAAGGCCACCTCATGCCAAGTAAAATATTGCCGGCGATGTCACATTAAAACAACTGGGTGCATGGGGATGTATGAGTGCACTAGGCAGCACCCAAAGGACAAACTCCTGTAGCTATGAATAAATTAACCAAGTAGTTAGCTATGCATATTAGACTCAGGGGGATTACACAACCTATCCGTGTCCAAAAACTGTTGCAAAATAATTCTTTTACTTCATAAAGTTGCGTCTGTGGCCGCCTTAAATTAACGGTTTGATTGTTTTGAAGTTTTTGCCATATAAAGGCGAGGAATGCTCTGTGCTTCTGTTCGATGCAGTAGTCTTCCGTACACACGTAAATTTTGTTTACCAGAGATCGTTTGTAGTAAGATACGCTTACATGTATTAAATAACAATAACTGTCGAGGCTATTATCGTTTAGTCGATGAATATTGTCTTAGAAGTACGACTTATCGAGAACACTGGGAAAGATATTTCGTGCCTATAAATAACTGCCAAACATTATATATTTGCTTCTTTCAAAATGTCGTTAAATAAAACAAGGAAAAACGCCGATTTCAATACGGACATTTTTTACTGTTACTCCCACGATCTGTGGCTGAAGCAGTTTTAAAAGGGCACGACCAATTTGTGTTAGATGAACACGTATTTCCTCATAAGTTACAATATAACGCATTACGGTTATAACGTAAATATGACAGTTTTCAAACGAATATGTGCGAAAAGTGCCTTCTGAGGCTCTGCTTCCACCCTAATTATATACAGAGAAATATACCGGCAGTCCCCACATTGTCTGCTACAGCCGTTGGCAAAATAAATTTACCCAGGTAAGATCGGCTATGGAGATAAAAGACCACGAACTTCACAGATACGGTATAGTCCATCAGTGGATTCAGCACCAAAAATGTGGGAGTTATTCTGAATGCAAAAGACGAGTAATAGTTATCTTAAACAAAGGATAATTTTGCATAACTTTCCCATTCCTGGGTAATTTATTTCAAATAGCAATTGTGTTCATAGAGGAGAACTGACAATATTTAACGGTACATGCCAGATGGAGAAATAAAAAGACCTCACAGTGACTGTTCTGTCGGGGAGTGAACAAGATGTTTTCAAGTAGTGAGCAGGTTAAAGGTACGATTATTTAAAAGCTTAAGTAGTTTAAATAGTCCCTTTTGTAATCTACGAAACCACAAAGGATAAAGGCCTGTAAGCCGGAAACGCTCTTGGTAAGACAAATTCCGAAGTTCCGAGGGTTAAACTCTCTTAGTAAAAAATATTGAAAGAATTCTATTTTCTTGCGCTCAGCAGCACGCACGATGCTAAATAAAAACGAAGAGTATTTCAGGCCAGGTCTAACGTATATTTTATAAAAGCACATTATAATATCGCTAGTGTTAAAATTTTGGAGGATAAACCGGCCGTTCTACATGCCTTGGAGACTCTCAGGGTGCAGTGCCCTGAAAGGTTGAGACTCTGGGAGTATAGATAATTTAGATAGATAATTTTTTATTAAAGACCC